TGGAGAATGAAATAGACCAAGTATACCGTATCTCGACTACGTTTTCAAGAAAGAACAAAACTCCCAGAGATGTCATCGTTAAATTTCTACGCCGACGGACAAGAGATGAAGTGCTCCAATGCAACAGTAAAATTCCACTGCAATTATCCGGCTCGAGGATTGCAGTGCTTAAAGAATTTCCTCAAACAACCTTGATGAGGCGCAGGCAGTACTTCTTTCTCACAGAAGAGTTGAAAAAAAGAAACATAAGATATAGATGGGAGAGAACGGAGGGTATAATGACTACCTACAAAGATCAAAAGTATTGGTTAACTTCAGTGGAGAAGGCGAAGAATTTCTATGATAGCTTAATAAAAGACCAAGATCCAGACCTTTCAATTAATAAATCTTCGAAACCAGAACGTAAATTTGCTCAGGCAGAAGCCTCTAAGATGACATCTCTTACTCCAAGAAAGGGAAAAAGGAATAAAAGAGCAAGATTTAATTCTCCAGACTACGTCGAATCAGGAACGGATGACGATGGCACTTCTTATTCGGAAGAAGGTGAAGACGAGCCCGGACCAGAAAAAGGACATAATATCGATGGCTAATGAACAACAAATAAAAATATTTTCTCTGAATGTGAATGGTCTTAATTCCCCTAACAAAAGGAAGCAGTTATTTAACAGATTAAAGAGAGAAAAGTATGACATAGTGGCTATACAAGAAACCTATATTATGCATAAACATACACCCCACTTAATCAACAAGAAGATTGGCAAAATTTACTACTCCTCATTTGAAAAAAAGAAAAGGGGGGTAGCCCTATATGTGAAGGACTCATTACAATCGGAGTTTTCCTTTAAGGATACAGAAGGAAGAGTAGTGGCGGTCACAATTACAATTGGCAATCAAAAGATTTTAATTTGTAATATCTACGCACCAAATGGACCTAAATCTCATTTTGTGGAAATCCTTAAGGGTAAGCTGGATGAGGTAGATTTTGATGATTTTATACTTCTGGGGGACTTTAATGGAATACTTAACAGTCAGTTGGATAAAACAAAAATTCCAAAAAAAACCCCTAAGGGGAATATGTCTACATTGCCAAAAAATTGGATCGATTTAAAGGAGGAGCAGGAGCTTGAGGATGTTTGGAGATGGAAAAATCCCACAAGAAGAGACTACACATTTTATTCACATAGACACCAGACATGGTCAAGAATAGACATGTGTTGGGCCACAAGAAATATCATTACAAAAATCTGGGATATAAACATCTTGCCAAGAGAAATTTCGGATCATGCTCCTCTGGAAATTATTCTTAATTCAAAAAAATTAAAAGGAAGATGGAGACTAAACGAGAATTTAATGAGGAAAGAACAAGACATTAAAAACTATAAAAAGGTTATAAATATATATATGGAGTTAAATAACACCCCAGACATGCATCATAACATAATATGGGACGCTGCAAAGGCAGTGGTACGAGGTCATTTCATACAACATAATGCCAAAAAATGTAAACTTGGTTTTAAAGAACAGAAGGACATTTTAAACAAACTTAAAATAAAGGAAAATGAATTGAAGAAAAAGCCCGGAAATAAAATAATATTAAAAGAAATAGAAGTGTTACACCAAAAAAGACGCAGTCTAGAATTAGAGGAACAAGCCAAACAATTAAAGTTTTTAAAACAATATCAGTTTGAAAATGCAAATAAAACAGGCAGATGGCTATCTAAACAAGTGAGGAAAAAGAAACAGGCCCAACGAATAATTAAAATCAAGTCGGAGAATTCAGAGGTAATGACAGACAAAGAGATTGTAAAGGAATTCAAAACATACTATGAAAAACTTTATAAGAAAGAAGAAGTATCTAAAGAAGATATCGCAAAATATATAGGTAAATTCAAGATCCCCAAGATTACAGAGGCCCAAAGAGATGACCTAAACAGGGAAATAACTGACGAAGAGATAGAAGCGGCCATAAGGAAAATGGACGCGAATAAAGCGCCAGGTCCTGACGGATTTTCCGCTGGGTATTATAAAACCTTCACAAAGGAACTTATGCCACTATTAAAAAAGGTATTGAATGGAGTGCTCAAGGGTCAGGGAATCCCGGAGACATGGAATTCCGCAGAAATAATTGTAATTCATAAAGAGCAGGCGGATCCAACGGATGTACGAAATTATAGACCCATTTCGTTGTTAAATGTGGACTATAAAATATTTACAAACATTTTAGCACAAAGGCTGAAGTCTTTCCTCTGTGAATGGATAGGAGAGGAACAAGTGGGTTTTCTACCTAAGAGAAATGTCAAAGACAACTTAAGAATAGTTGTCGATATGATCGAATATTTTGAAGCCAATCCACAAAAAGAAGTTGCCTTTTTAGCACTGGATGCTGAAAAAGCATTTGATAACCTTAATTGGGACTTTTTTAAGATGCTGATGAAAGAATTGGACTTGGGTTATCAATTTATTACAGCAATTGAAGAAATTTATAAGTACCAAAAAGCTAAAGTGCAAATAAACGGACAATTATCCGAGGAATTCTGGATAGGGAAAGGCTCAAGACAAGGTTGCCCGATCTCACCCCTGATTTTTATAATGGCTCTAGAATTATTGTTGAAAACTCTAAAGGAAGATGAAAACATAAAAGGGGTTAAAATCGGCAAACAAGAATTCAAAACAAGAGCATATGCGGACGACATAATTGGGATAATAGAAAACCCACGAGAAAACATTAAAAATTGGATAAGTAAGATTGAAGAATTTGGTAAACTGGCTGGCTTCAAATTAAATAAGCAAAAAACTATTATTTTAACGAAGAATATGTCTAAGGACAAACAAGAAGAACTGATGGAAATCTCTGGCCTCAAAGTAGTAAATAAGATGAAATATCTGGGAATCTGGATTACCTCTAAAAATGCCCAACTTCTTACAAACAACTATGAGAGACTCTGGAAGGAGATTAAAAAAGATTTAGAGAAATGGAAATTTTTGAATCTATCTCTGCTGGGAAGAATTGCCCTGATTAAAATGTCAGTCCTTCCAAAACTATTATACCTCTTCCAAAATATTCCTATAATTAGGAATCTGAAAAAATTCAAGGAGTGGAATAGAGATCTTATGAAATTTATTTGGAAGGGGAAAAGACCAAGAATTAAATTTCAAGTGTTGACTGACCAGAAAACAAGAGGGGGTTTTGGGTTCCCTAATCTCCAACTATATCATGATGCATCTGCCTTAATCTGGTTAAGGGACTGGATGGTGTTAATAAAAGAGAACCTTCTCACTTTAGAAGGCCATGATCTGCGTGTAGGTTGGCACGCCTATATTTGGTATGGTAGAGAACAAAAAGAAAGGAATTTTGGAAATCATTTTATTCGTTCTTCATTAATTAGAATCTGGGAAAGATACAAAAGGTATTTTTATTCAAAAACTCCTCTTTGGATTTCACCGATGGAAGCCAAACAAAGAAGATTATTGGGCTGGAATAAATGGCCAATGTATAAAGATATATTAAAAAGTGGCTCATCGGAGTTGAAATCCCAAGTAGAAATAAACCAGAGTTTTCCAAAAATCACGTGGCTACATTATCTACAAATAAAAGAACAATATAACCAGGATAATAAACAAGGGTTTCAAATTAAGGAGGTATTTTGGGACAAGTTTCTTAAAACAGAAACTAAATGTATAACAAAAATGTATGAAAAATTATTAGAATGGTCAACGGAGACAGAAATAATAAAAGGCTGTATGGTAAAATGGGCTGAAAATTTTAAAAGACCAATATCTCTATGTGACTGGGAATTAATGTGGAAGAAAAAACTTAAATATACTTATGCGATGGATTTAAAGGAGAATTGGATGAAAATGTTTCATAGGTGGTATTTGACTCCAGTAAAACTACATTCTATGTATAAGAATGTTTCAAAATTCTGCTGGAAATGCAATCAACATGAGGGAACTTTTTTTCACCTCTGGTGGAGTTGTACAGAATCTCAAAAATATTGGAAAAGAATACATGAAGAAATGCAATTAATATTCAATAAAAAATTCCCAAGAAAAGCAGAATACTACTTATTAGGACTAACAGACTCTGATATAATACTTGACTCAAATGAGGACATCCTGTTTACGTATCTGACCACGGCTGCCAGAATGATTTTTGCTAAATCTTGGAAACAGAAAGAAACACCAGACGTACTACAATGGATTACAAAAATAAATGAGATTAAAGACATGGACATATTAACATTTTTACTAAAGAAGAATACAGGCAATATAATGAAACAGACAAATTGGTTAATATTAGATAATTATATGGAAATAAAGGACAAACTGGATTAATGGGACGAGGCTATTTGAATATAACAAAGAGAGATTTACATCCCTTACTTATAGAAAGAAGATGAGACTTTGAAGAGTGATGCAGTATCAGAAGGGAGCCCACTCCCCTTTTTTTTTTTTTTTCTCTATTTTAGATAAACTTTTTTTTTTTTTTTTTTATCTCCCGATTTTCTTACTTTTCTATTTTCTTATATTATTCTCACTCTTTCGCTGTAACCACATAAAACCCTAATAAAATTTTCTCAAAAAAAAAAAAAAATATCTCTCTTGAATTGTGGTGCCCAGAATTGGACACAATATTCCAGGTGTGGTCTAACCAAGGCGGAATGGAGCATGGGGAGCAGGACTTCCCTAGATCTAGGCACTAGGCTCCTCTTGATGCAGGCCTACATCCCATTGGCTTTTTTTGCCGCCACATCACATTGTTATTCAAGTCAATCCGTTTTCTCAGTATTTTTGGTGGTAAAAGTAGGTGCCTCGGCTTATATTCGGGTCGGCTTATACTCAAGTACATATGGTAATTTGGCTTCACAGCCATGCCTTTTAAATATGTGTCAAGGTTCTGTTATCAGAGGTGCGGGGTGCGGGGTGGGTGGGAGGATATACAATTCAAAACAATTCGTATTATTTTTTCTCAAGCTGCATAACATTATGTTCTTTTCCAGTATGACTATATGGGCGGAAACCGTGATGACGTCACCCAGAACATTGCACAGCTGATTGGTTTTGTCAATAGTGTAAGTTGCTGCCATGTTTTCTTCTTTCCCCATTTGAGACAATACAAGTCATTTGGCTTTCTTAATTCCGCTGTTGTTTTTCCGCCTGGAAAGCATCTGCACTGGCAAATTGCATAGCATCGGGTGCCAGGAATGTATACACACGAGGCCACTGCTTGTAATCCCATTCCAGCATTGCGATGCTATGCAAGGCTTTAGTTTCCCAAAACTCGTTAAAAGCTTACTGGAAATAATGTAAGGAAATAAAGAAAATGGATTGTTGTAGGTTTTTTCGGGCTATATGGCCATGGTCTAGAGCAATGATGGGCAACCTTTTGAGCTTGGTGTGTCCAAATTTGCCAAAAACCTGAGCATACCTTGGGTAGAGTGTCACTTAGAGAGAAAAACAAAACATAATTTTGCAATATTTATAGTTTAAATAAGAAAAAATATATAATCCATGCTGAGTTATAGAGTGAACAATAGGGCTGGGTAACCACGGAAAAATTTGTTTCTAAACTCGTTTCGTTTTTAGGGGGTCCATTGCGTTTCGTTTTTTTAAAGAATTTCGAATTTTTTCTTTAAAAAAGTTTGAAATTTATGAAATTTCGTAAATTTCGAATTGATTCGTTAATGGCGGACGCGATTGCGCAATATGCTAAAAAAACCTCCAAATGGGACAGGGGGAACTTCTGTTGTTCCCCCTCCCTCTGTTGTTGACTGTTGGTGTGATAAAACAAACAACAACTATATTATATTATATTATTATATATTATATTATATTATTATAATATTATAATATTATATATTATTATATTATATTATATATTATATATTATTATATTATATTATTCTAATATTATTATATTATATTATATTATTATATATTATATTATATATTATTATATTATATTATATATTATTATATTATATTATTGTATATTATATTATTATAATATATTGTATTATATATTATATATTATTATTATATTATATTACAAAATAATTACGAAAATTGGAAAAATTGTTTCGATTCTTAATTACTCCTCACAGAATGGCTCAATATCGGATCGTAAGCTAATTTAAATACGAATTAATAACGAATTACGAAATTAACGAACGAAACCACCCAGCCCTAGTGAACAATGCTCAAACATGTAGATGTTAAATTTGTAGAGCCTTTTACAAATTTAAGGATGGAATTAGATTGGCTCTTATAAGGTGTATTTCCCTGTATGTGGCTGCATGTGTCTGCGTGTCATCAAAAATAGCCATGCGTGTCAGTACTGACACACACGTGTCATAGGTTCACCATCACGGGTCTAGAGGCATTCTCTCCTGACGTTTTGCCTGCATCTATGGCAAGCATCCTCAGAGTTAGTGAGGTCTGCTGGAAGTAGGTAAAAGAGTTTATATATCTGTGGAATGACCAGGGTGGGACAAAGGACTCTTGTCTATTGGAGCTTGGTGTGAATGTTTCAACTGACCACCTTGATTAGCATTTGATGGCCTGGCAGTGCCTGGGGCAATCTTTTGTTGAGAGGTGATTAGATGATCTTGTTTGTTTTCTCTCTGTTGTTGTGCTGTTGTAATTTTAGCGTTTTTTAAATACTGGTAGCCAGATTGTGCTCATTTTCATGGTTTTCCCCTTTCTGTTGAAATTGTCTAGTCTAGTCATGTTCCAGAAGCATTCTCTCCTGACGTTTCAACTGATCACCTTGATTAGCAGTTGATAGCCTGGAAGTGCCTGGAGCAATCTTTTGTTGAGAGGTGATGAGATGTCCTTGTTTGTTTCCTCTCTGTTGTTGTGCTATTGCACAACAACAACGGTAAAGAAAATGTTTCTATTAATCCTGCTTTTGAATTCAGTGTATCAATTGTGTTGTTGAAGGCTTTATTTATGTATTTATTTATTTGAAACATTCATATTCCACCCTTCTTCTCACCCTGAAGGGGACTCAGGGCAAAGTATAGAATATATACAGCAAATATTCAATGCCAGGATACAAATTCTTATATACATACATAAACATTAAAAACATTTATCTCAATATTAAAATACACCATTTAAAACCGTCCTAATCTAATTGGCCTGGTCATCTTTCCTATTGCTGCTATTTTATTGCCCTGTCCTGAAAGCTTGGTCCCACAGCCAAGTTTTGACCATCCTTCTAAAGGACAGGAGGGAGGGCGCTGACCTGATCTCACCAGGAAGGGAATTCCATAGCCAGGGAGCAATTACCGAGAAGGCCCTGTCTCTTGTACCTGTGACAATGGCGGGACGGAAAGCAGAGCCTCCCCGGAGGATCTTAATCTCCGCAATGGTTCATAGGGGGAGATGCGTTCAAACAGGTAAATTGGGCCGGGGCCATTTAGGGCCTTCTCGGTGGTGGCCCCTCAACTCTGGAACTCACTCCCCAAGGACATCAGGCATGCCTCAACTCTGGCAGTCTTTAGGAGGAGCCTGAAAACGTGGTTGTTCCAGTGTGCCTTCCCAGAAGAAGGAAACTCCCAGCAATATGTCCCTCAATGCACTTTATCAATGATCTAGGATTGTCTGCACGCCCTTTCCTCTCCGAAACCCTATCCTAGTTATATATTTCACCTGTTCATGCTCAGCATTATTTTTTTGTTGAGTAATGTAATAATTTTAATTATTACATTTGGCCCAGCCATAGGTTTTTAAGCATTGTCGTACTATTGTTAATGTTTACTGCTTGTTTTTTGTTTATGAGTTTCATTTTATTGTTTTGTATTGCTGTTGTTGTTGTTTTTGCTGATGTATTGTGGGCTCGGCCTCATGTAAGCCGCACCGAGTCCCTTGGGGAGATGGTAGCGGGGTACAAATAAAGTATTATTATTATTATTATTATTATTATTATTATTATTATTGTTATTATTATTATTGGCCAAAGCCCACACTTTGAATTGTGCCCAGTAGCAAACTGGCAGCCAGTGGAGCTGGCGTAACATGGGAGTTGTGTGCTCCCTGTATACCGCCCCAGTCATTAACCTGGCTGCCTCGTTGGACTAGTTGAAGCTTCCGAGCAGTCTTCAAAGGCAACCCCACGTAGAGTGTGTTGCAGTAGTCTATCCTACTGGGTTGCTCCAGAAGCATTATCTCCTGACATTTTGCCTGCATCTGTGGCAGGCATCCTCAGAGGTCGTCAGGCCTGTTGGGGTTTATATATCTGTGGAATGTCCAGGTGTTACAAAAATATAATTGCAGATTTGATAAATGTGGATTTGCAATGATGTGTGGGCATGAATGGAGTTGAATGGAAGGATGTATGGACTGAGTTAATAATTTTGGAGGTTGGTTCATCAGGTGCTTTGCTGTGGCTGATTTCTCTGGTTGAGTGACCCTGCAGTACCTTTCATTTTGAATATTAAGGCCTGAATATTAAGGCCTACAATGATTAAACCTGCTTGCTGGACTGTAATTAAAATTTGCTAATAAGAACTGAAAAGTAAATTGTGATAAGAACGGGACAGTGATAAGACAAATGTTTACAATGTTTCCATCTATAGAACTAGGAAAATGGGTAGGAGAAAGAACTTGTCTGTTTGAGGCAAGTGTGAATGTTGCAACTGGCCACCTAGATTAGCATTGAATAGCCTTGCAGCTGCAAAGTCACTACCTCTGAGGATGCTTGCCATAGATGCAGGTGAAACGTCAGAAGAGAATGCCTTTAGACCATGGCCATATAGCCCGAAAAACCTATAACAACCCAGATTTGAGCTTTGTTTCCCCCTCACCCACAACATCTTTTCAGATATTTTCTGAGCTCAACATAACGATCGTTCTCTCTTCGCTGGAATTCTGGACGGACCACAATAAAATCAACACGTCTGGAGAGCCCGATGAGTTGCTACGGAGGTTCTTACAGTGGAAGAATTCGTACCTGGTCCTGCGCCCCCATGATTTGGCGTTTTTGTTTGTGTAAGCAGGAATAACGCAGCGATTTCTGATGATTTATTTATTATTTATTATTTATTTATTTACTTTACTTATATACCGCTCTTCTCAGCCCTCGGGCGACTCAAAGCGGTTGACAACATTAATGCAAAACATCACAAGACAAGTATAAAGCCATTAAAAACAGATTATAGCATCAACAATTAAACATCCGTATAACAATCAATTAGCGCCTCAACAGTAAAATCAGAATCCAGTCTCAACATCCATTATTCCGTATTCCTATGTTCAATTACACTGTTTAGTCAAATGCTTGTTCGAACAGCCAGGTCTTCACTTTCCTCCGAAACGCCAGCAGGGAGGGGGCCGATCTGATATCTGCAGGCAGGGCGTTCCACAGCTGAGGGGCCACCACTGAGAAGGCCCTGTCTCTTGTCCCCGCCAAGTGCGCTGTGATGCAGGCGGGACTGAGAGCAGGACTTCTCCAGATGATCTTAGTGTCCTAGTCAGTTCATAGGAGGAGATGCGTTCAGAGGGGTAAGTAGGGCCAGAACCGTTTAGGGCTTTATAGGCTAACGCCAGCACTTTGAATTGTGCCCAGTAGCAAACTGGCAGCCAGTGGAGCAAAATCAGAATCCAGTCTCAACATCCATTATTCCGTATTCCTATGTTCAATTACACTGTTTAGTCAAATGCTTGTTCGAACAGCCAGGTCTTCACTTTCCTCCGAAACGCCAGCAGGGAGGGGGCCGATCTGATGTCTGCAGGCAGGGCGTTCCACAGCCGAGGGGCCACCACTGAGAAGGCCCTGTCTCTCGTCCCCGCCAAGTGCGCCTGTGATGCAGGCGGGACAGAGAGCAGGGCCTCCCCAGATGATCTTAGTGTCCTAGTCAGTTCATAGGAGGAGATGCGTTCGGAGAGGTAAGTAGGGCCAGAACCGTTTAGGGCTTTATAGGCTAACGCCAGCACTTTGAATTGTGCCCAGTAGCAAACTGGCAGCCAGTGGAGCAAAATCAGAATCCAGTCTCAACATCCATTATTCCGTATTCCTATGTTCAATTACACTGTTTAGTCAAATGCTTGTTCGAACAGCCAGGTCTTCACTTTCCTCCGAAACGCCAGCAGGGAGGGGGCCGATCTGATGTCTGCAGGCAGGGCGTTCCACAGCCGAGGGGCCACCACTGAGAAGGCCCTGTCTCTTGTCCCCACCAAGGGCGCCTGTGATGCAGGCGGGACCAAGAGCAGGGCCTCTCCAGATGATCTTAGTGTCCTAGTCGGTTCATAGGAGGAGATGCGTTCAGAGGGGTAAGTAGGGCCAGAACCGTTTAGGGCTTTATAGGCTAACGCCAGCACTTTGAATTGTGCCCAGTAGCAAACTGGCAGCCAGTGGAGCTGGCGCAACAGAGGAGTAGTATGCTCCTTGAGTGCCGCTCCTGTTAGTAACCTGGCTGCCGAACGCTGGACCATTTGAAGCTTCCGAGCAGTCTTCAAAGGCAACCCCACATAGAGAGCGTTGCAGTAGTCCATACGGGATGTAACCAGAGCGTGGACTACCGTGGCCAAGTCAGACTTCCCAATGGAAACATTCAAGCATTGAACAAAATGGCTGTATTATAACACCTTCCATAACCTGTCATCGTCCAGATGCACTGGACTAATAATAATAATCATAATAATAATACTTTATTTATACCCTGCTCCATCTCGGGGCGGCTCCACGCCCATCAATACAGTAAACAAATATTACACAAAAGCAATATTTCCTGTCCTATCCTATATAGTTGTTGGGGGATAAAGTGGAGGAACGGTGCCTGATCCAAGACACTCTCGTCCTGGAGGGAAGAGGGGATGAATGTGGCTACATTTCTACAAATACAGAGTAGCGAATATAGGAAATCGAATGACCTGACAATGGAATTGGACAATGCTTGAGAATAATGAGACGCTGGTGATGTTGTTTTTATTGCTTTTGTGATGTTCTTATACTGTTTAATGTTTTTTCTTTATCTATATTATGTTTTATGTATACTGATTTGTTGGAAACCGCCTTGAGTCGCCGATTGGCTGAGAAAGGCGGTATACAAATACAAATACAGCAAATAAATAAATAAATAAATGTGTGTGAAGGGTGATGGAAAATGTAATTCTCCATTGTTTGTCGGTTAGCCATGTAATTGTGAATCCAATGTCTTTGCATAGAATCTGAAAGCATCGTGTGCCTGCCTGACCCTACATTATAGTGCAAATTCTACTTCTAAATCTATGTATTTCAATCACAAATTGAGTCAGGGAGCATGGCCAACTGGAAGGCAATCAAAAGTATAGAATGCAGAAATCAGCAACTATATCATGATATGGAGAGTGAAGGAAGTCTGACTTGGCCACGGTAGTCCACGCTCTTGTTACATCCCGTTTAGACTACTGCAACGCTCTCTACGTGGGGTTGCCATTGAAGACGGCTCGGAAGCTTCAATTGGTCCAGCGTGTGGCAGCCATGATACTAACAGGGGCGGCACACAGGGAATATACAACCCCACTGTTGCGCCAGCTCCATTGGCTACCAATTTGCTACCAGGCCCAATTCAAAGTGCTGGCTTTGGCCTATAAAGCCCTAAACGGTTCTGGCCCAAGTTACCTATCCGATCGCATCTCCACCTACGAACCCACTAGGACTTTGAGATCTTCCGGGGAGGCCCTGCTCTCGATCCCGCCTGTAACACAGGCGCGGCTGGCGGGGACGAGAGACAGGGCCATTTCGGTGGTAGCCCCTCGGCTGTGGAACGCCCTTCCCACAGACATCAGATTGGCCCCCTCATTGATGGTATTCCGGAGGAAAGTGAAAACCTGGTTATTTGAACAGGCGTTTGAATAAGCAGTGCAATGAATTTCAGGAAATGGAACTACGACTGACGAGTTTGGATCATGATTCTAGTTATGAGACGCCACCTGAATGTTTATTACTGTTAAATTGTTTAATTTGTTTCTGTGTTAACTGTTTTTAAGTACCGTATATTCCGGCATATAAGACGACTGGGCGTATAAGACGACCCCCAACTTTTCCAGTTAAAATATAGAGTTAAGACGACTCCCATGCATAAGACTACATCCGCATATAAGACGACCCCTAACTTTTGAGAAGATTTTCTTGGGTTAAAAAGTAGTCTTATACGCCAGAATATACTGTACCTTGTTGATGCCGCATTGAATTTTTGCCTTGATTGTTCGCCTTGTTTTTGCTTGTTGTAAACCGCTATGAGTCGCCTTAGGGCTGAGAATGGCGGTATACAAATAAAGTAAATAAATAAATAATAAATAGTTTGGAATGTGGTTTAGAGACATAGTGTATAACCTCCGCTTCCCTCTGTGTGCTTTAGTTACAGGGAGAAGCCTAATTACGTCGGAGCGACCTTCACAGGAAAGCTGTGCCTTCGGAATTACGACGCAGGCGTTGCTCTGGTGCGGATTCACCCATTGAGTGTCTCTTTAGAGAAAAAAGCAGGATAATAATAATTATTTACTTATTTATTTACAGTATTTATATCCCGCCTTTCTCACCCCTGGCCCACCTCTGCTTTCTTCTAGTATCAGAAATCAATTACGATGGAGACGTTTTCGGTCATCCTGGCGCAACTGCTGGGCCTCAACTTGGGGATGGAGCATGACGACGGGAAAGACTGTCGCTGTCCGGGACCCGTCTGTGTTATGAACACAGGAGCAGTGTGAGCCTTTTCATTTTTGACCATTTGTCAAACTTGGAAGAGCGGTCATCTCCTATTGCTGTTAATAGAGGGAAGAGAAGGGGAAGCGGGTGGTCTTGTGTTGCCTCTCATGTTTAGAAATGACTCAAATGATGCAAATGACACCGAGAAGAAGACAGAGACCCCACGTACACTGCCATGTAATGCAGTTCATTTTGGAAAGGCATGACCTTTTAGAGATCAAAACCAGAAATCTCCACTTCCTTTTGGAAACATGGACCTTTTGGAAATTACTGTATATACTCAAATATAAGCCTAGTTTTTCAGTCCTTTGTTAAGGCTGAAAAAGTCCTCCTCGGCTTATACTCAAATCAAGGTTATTTATTATTTTACTCTTGATTATTATTTTTATTACATTTACTTTATCCCTTATTATTATTATTATTATTATTATTATTATTATTATTATTATTACATGTATCATTTTACTCTATTTTTATGATTACATTTATCATTTTACACAATTCACTTCACTTTATTTCTTAATTAGTCGCTCTCCACGAAGGTGCTCCGAGCGACTTACAATTTAAAATAGCATTTTGTTGTTGTTCATTCGTTCAGTCGTCTCCGACTCTTCGTGACCTCATGGACCAGCCCACGCCAGAGCTCCCTGTCGGCCGTTACCACCCCCAGCTCCCTCAAGGTCAGTCCAGTCACTTCAAGGATGCCATCCATCCATCTTGCCCTTGGTTGGCCCCTCTTCCTTTTGCCTTCCACTTTCCCCAGCATAATTGTCTTCTCTAGGCTTTCCTGTCTCCTCATGATGTGGCCAAAGTACTTCAACTTTGTCTCTAGTATCTTTCCCTCCAGTGAGCAGTCGGGCTTTCTTTCCTGGAGGATGGACTGGTTGGATCTTCTCGCAGTCCAAGGCACTCTCAGCACTTTCCTCCAACACCACAGCTCAAAAGCATCGATCTTCCTTCTCTCAGCCTTCCCTAAGGTCCAGCTCTCACATCCGTAGGTTACTACAGGGAATACCATGGCTTTGACTAGGCGGATCTTTGTTGCCAGTCTGATGTCTCTACTCTTCACTATTTTATCGAGACTGGACATTGCTCTCCTCCCAAGAAGTAAGCGTCTTCTGATAGCATTTACACAATATAAAAACATTCAACATAAAAACATTCAACAGTGACTATTTGACAAATTACTTAAATGCACAGCCAAACAGCCAAGTCTTGAGTGCCTTTACAAAAGGTCGCAACTCCGACATTGCTCTAATATATGGAGGCAATGAGTTCCACAGAATTGGAGCATAGGTCGAAAAAGCTCTACGATGCCTTGTAGCTTCCAGGTGTACCTCCCTAGGACCCGGTATGTAGAGGAGATTTTCCTGGGTGGATTGAGGTGACCACGGATGGAGAAAAGGAATGGTGCGGTCCCTAAGACAGAAAGGTCCTTGGCCATTTTGAGCTCTAAATGTCAGGATCAGTATCTTGTCAAAGATCCGATGTTCTATTGGGAGCCAATGCAGTTGTTGCAGAATCGGTGTAATATGGGACCTTATAGATGATCCTGCTAGCAGCCTAGCCGCTACATTTTGGACCATCCAAATCTTCTGGGTTGTTGACTTCGGAAGGCCGGCAGATAAGGCATTGCAATAGTCCAACCTCGTGGTGACTGTTGCGTGGATTACCGTTGCCAATGCTTCTACCGAAAGGTTGGATGCCGATTTCCTTGCCTGGCGAAGATGAAAAAGCGCCTGCTTCCTTATGGCAGTGATCTGGGCCTCCATCGTCACCACTGAGTCCAACACAACCCCAAGGCTTTTAACAGTTACATTTCCATAATTTTACTTTATTATTGTTATTATTATTATTATTATTATTATTATTATTATTATTATTATTAGTAGTAGTACTAGTAGTAGTATTAGAAACACAACAAGATGCGTCCACAGCAGACACTCTGCTGGCTGTTGAATTGGATCACACGTCGGACATTTCCCAAGTGTCTAGGACTATGTGTTGTTGTTGTTGTTGTTGTTGTTGTTGTTGTTGTTGTTGTTGTTGTTGTTATTATTATTATTATTAGATACACAACAAGATGAGTCCACAGCAGACACTCTGCTGGCTGTTGAATTGTATCACACGTCGGACATTTCCCAAGTGTCTAGGACTGTGTGATGTATGTATGTATGTATGTATGTATGTATGTATTATTATTATTATTATTATTATTATTATTATTATTATTATTAGATACACAACAAGATGAGTCCACAGCAGACACTCTGCTGGCTGTTGAATTGGATCACACGTCGGACATTTCCCAAGTGTCTAGGACTATGTGATGTTGTTGTTGTTGTTGTTGTTGTTGTTGTTGTTGTTGTTATTATTATTATTATTATTAGATACACAACAAGATGAGTCCACAGCAGACACTCTGCTGGCTGTTGAATTGTATCACACGTCGGACCCTTCCCAAGTGTCTAGGACTGTGTGATGTACCAGCGAATAACGTGTGCACATCCCAGTGAGGTGGCCTTTTGCAGCTGGCAGATGGTAATCTTGTCAGCACCAATTGTGTTTTAGTCCAGGCCAAGGTCTTGAGGCACTGCACCCAGTGTGCCTATCACCACTGGGACCCCCTTGACTGGCTTGTGCCAGAGTCTTTACAGTTTGATCTTTAAATCCTCATATAGTGTCAGCTTTTCCAGTTGTTTCTCTGCAATCCTGTTGTCACCTGGGATTGCGACATTGACAATCCACACTCTGTTTTAATATGATCGTGAGGTCAGGAGTATTATGCTCCAAAACTCTGTCCGTCTGAATCCAGAAGTCCCAGAGGAGTTTGACATGTTCATTTTCTGTAACTTTTTCCGGTTTGTGATCCCACCAGTTCTTTGTTGCAGGCAGATGTTCTTTGTGGCACAAGTTCCAGTGAATCACCTGAGCAAGGATGTTGTGCCTCTGCTTGGAGTTTGTCTGCGTGATCTTCTTGCAGCAGCTGAGGATGGGATCTATTGTTTCACCTGCTTCCTTGCAGAGTCAACACTTGGGATCTGTCCTCAACTTTTCAATTCTGGCTTTGATGGCCTTGGTTCAAATGGCTTGTTCTTGGGCTGCCAGAATCATGCCCTCCTTTGTCTCCTTTTTCAGAGTCCCATTTGTGAGCCACAGCCATGTCTTTTTCTTTGTCAGTTTGGCCCCCAATTTTTCCCAGGAACTGTTCATGGAGAGAGAGCCTTCTTTGGCCAGTTTTCTCTTCTGCTCTGGATTGTGTTTTTATGGTATTCCCTCTTTTGCACTTTAAGCAGTTTGCTACTCTTGACTTCCCTCACTGTTGGTTCTTGACTGCCTTTCCCATCATCTGCCAGGACATGTTTCTCTTCTTCTACCATTAGTTTCCCTTGCAGAAGCCCTCTCTCTTTCTGCCTCGTGATTTTCTGGGCAGATCAAGTCTGTCGACATCACTACGCGGATGTCATGCGTAGTGGATTGTCATCAGTTTTCTTGTTTTTCTGTCCAGATCATCCAGCTCTGCTTGTGTCCAGTTCACAATCCCACCAGTGTATGGTTGAGGACCATCGCTTCAATGCTGGTGGTCTTTGCTTCTTCCAGCACGCTGATGTTTGTCCGCCTGTCTTCCCAAGAGATTTGCAGTATTTTCCAGAGGCAGCGCTGAGGGAATCGTTCCAGGAGTTGCATGTGATGTCTATATAGACAGTCCACATCTCGCAGGCATATACCAGGGTTGGGAGGACAATAGCTTTATCAACAAGCCCCTTGGTCTCCCTACGGATGTCCCGGTCCTCAAACACTCTGCTTCATTCGGAAAAATGCTGCACTTGCAAAGCTCAGGCAGTGTTGAATTTCAGTGTGAATGTTGACTTTTGTGGAGAGGTGGCTGCCAAGGGAGTGGAAATGGTCCACATTTTCTAATGTTACGCCATTAAGTTGTATTTCGGGCATTGGAGTGGGATGGGCTGGTGACTGCTGGAAGAGCACTTTGGTTTTCTTGATATTTAATGGCAGGCCGAGCTTCTTGTATGCTTCTACAAAGGTGTTGAGAGTGGCTTGTAGGTTTCCTTCTGAATGCGCACAGATGACGTTGTCATCAGCATACTGGAGTTCTATAACAGATGTTGTTGTAACCTTGGTTTTGGCTTTCAGTCTGCTGAGGTTAAATAGCTTGCCATCTGTCCAAGAGATGATTTTCCATCCATATATGCAGTATTTATTTATTTATTTGTCGTGTCAGGGCAACCAGTTAATTGTATTACATTTCTAATAGAACAAAACAAACAGACAGACAAAACACAAAATTTGCAAGCTTGGTAGTTGATTAGATGTCCTTTGACCAGTGTCTGGCCCCTTGGAGTGCCTCTGGTATTGCTACGAGAAGGTCCTGTGGCAGGGCTCAGGGTGCATTGCAGCAGGTGGTCAGTGGTTTGCTCTTCTCCGTACTCACATGTCGTGGATTCCACTTTGTGGCCCCATTTCTTGAGGTTGGCTCTGCATCTCGTGGTGCCAGAGCGCAGTCTGCCTTCCAAGTCACCCAGTTTTCTGTGTGCCCAGGGGGGAGTCTCTCATTTGGTATCAGCCATTGATTGAGGTTCTGGGTTTGAGCCTGCCATTTTTGGACTCTCGCTTGCTGGGGTGTTCCAGCGAGAGTCTCTGTAGATCTTAGAAAACTATTTCTTGATTTAATTCGTTGATGTGCTGGCTGATACCCAAACAGGGGATGAGCTGGAGATGTTTCTGCTTTGGTCCTTTCACGATTGGCTGCTACTTCCCGGCGGATGTCAGGTGGTGCGATACCGGCTAAGTAGTGTAATTTCTCCAGTGGTGTAGGGCGCAGGCACCCCGTGATAATGCGGCATGTCTCATTAAGAGCCACATCCACTGTTTTGGCGTGGTGAGATGTGTTCCACACTGGGCATGCGTATTCAGCAGCAGAGTAGCACAGCGCAAGGTCAGATGTCTTCACTGTGTCTGGTTGTGATCCCCAGGTTGTGCCAGTCAGCTTTCCTATGATATTGTTTCTAGCACCTACCTTTTGCTTGATGTTGAGGCAGTGCTTCTTGTCGGTCAGAGCATGGTCCAGAGTGACTCCCAGGCATTTGGGTGCGCTGCAATGCTCCAGTGGGATTCCTTCCCAGGTAATAATCCTCAGAGCTCAGGATGCTTGTCTGTTCTTGAGATGAAAGGCACATGTCTGTGTTTTAGATGGGTTGGGGATCAGCTGGTTTTCCTGTAGTAGGCAGTAAGAGCACCTAGAGCTTTGGAGAGCTTCTCTTCAACCATCTCAAAGCTCCCTGCTTGAGCAGTAATATATGCAGTAGAGTCTGGCTTATCCAACATAAACTGGCCGGCAAAACATTGGAAAAGCCAAAACTTTGGATAATAAGGAGGGATTAGAAACTGAGATGAGCACCACCTCCCAGAGTCGGACTCACCTAGACTTAAGGTCAAGGGGAAACCTGTACCTGTACTTTAATGCAAGCAGGTTAAACGCCCGTAACTATGCCATTTTTAAATGTATCTCTCTCTCTCTATATATATATATATTTCAGGCATTCAAATGGCGTCAAAACCTTTAGCAGCTGCAGCATTGAAGACTTCCAAAACTTCATTAAGTTCAAAGGAGCCCCTTGCCTTTCAAACAGGCCCAACCTGCGATTGTACTACGAAAAGGGAAAGGCAAACGGCAAATCTGTTTGTGGAAATGGGATTCTGGAACACGGCGAGAAGTGCGATTGTGGTTCGCCTGAGGTCAGTGGCTGCTGAAAAAAAATTCAAACATGCTTGTTGGCTTGAACTGATTTTCACTTTTTGCGGGTGGTCCTGGAACGTAACACCCGCAATAAGTGAGGGAATACTGTATCTTATTTCTTCTCTCTGTTTCTGCTCTCATTCTGATGGGTTGTTCAAAATGGATACTTTTCTGCTGCAAGCCCTTTCGAACCAGGCTTCTGCCTTTTTGTACTTTAGTATCGAGAGTATGTGCTGTGTGCTTTGAGATCTCTCTCTGCTTGTGTGCCAGAGATGCCGTGATTGAGTTTTCCCCTCTCTTGAAACCTTAGAAGAGATGGCCGTTAAGAGTAGCTCAGACCCAGTTCTTAACATGAAGAAATGTAGTTAGTTTTTACGTATATAAATAAAAATGTAATGTTCATTTGTGGGATTAACATAACTCAAAAACAACTGGACGAATTGACACCAAATTTGGACACAAGACACCTAACAACCCAATGTACGAGGGGTATTATTAAAGTAAGGTCCGTTTGAACATTAGTACACAACGAAAGTTTATTTCAAAAAAGTAAATTTATTTTCAGAAAGTACATACTTCACTCTATTTTTTGACATAGTTGCCAAGTTTGTTCAAACACTTATCATACCTCTGAACCAATTTTAAAATACCCTCTTCATAAAAACTTACCGCCACCAAAAGCCACCAAATCGTCTGTAATCAAAGAAGGGCGACCGGAGCGGTCCTCATCGTGGACGTTGTCACGGCCATCTTTGAATTGTCGTACCCACTTACGCACTTTGCTTTCCCTCATAACAGTCTCACCGTACACTTCACAACTCTGTCGATGGATTTCTGCAGCAGGCAGGTTCCTTGCTGACAAAAACCGTATCCCTGAGCGAACCGCACATGCGGAGGGTGAGTTGATAGTCTTAAACATTTTTAAAGCATAGAACGGAACCGTACAGGTGAGCTACAGAGCGGAAACTGAGCACAGTGGTTCCCGAGGATTGCCGGTACACGACGCACGAGCTCGTTGTGCTATGCATGCGAACTACTAGTGTCTACAACAAAACGGATCTTAATTTAAAAATACTATATATATCACTGTATATTTTCATCGACAGATTTGTGAAGTGTACGGTGAGACTGTGATGAGTGAAAGCAAAGTGCGTAAGTGGGTACGACAATTCAAAGATGGCCGTGACAACGTCCATGATGAGGACTGCTCCGGTCGTCCTTCTTTGATTACAGACGATTTGGTGGCTTCAGTTGAAGCGAGGATTCGTGAGAACAGGCAGTTCACAATAACAGGTCTCTCAAACGAATTTCCTGACGTGTCGAGATCAGTGCTTTACAACATTGTTTCTGAACACCTAAAGTTTAGGAAACTGTGCTCCCGTAGGGTCCCGAAACTCCTAACAGAGGACCACAAAAACCAAAGATTTGAGTGTGCGATCAAATCGTCTGTAATCAAAGAAGGGCGACCAGAGCGGTCCTCATCATGGACGTTGTCACGGCCATCTTTGAATTGTCATACCCACTTACGCACTTTGCTTTCACTCATCACAGTCTCACCGTACACTTCACAAATCTGTCGATGGATTTCTGCAGCAGGCAGGTTCCTTGCTGACAAAAACCGTCTCACTGAGTGAATCTCACATGCGGAGGGTGAGTTGAGAGTCTTAAACATTTTAAAGCACAGAACAGAACCGTACAGGCGAGCTACAGAGCGGAAACTGAGCACAGTTGTTCCCCAGGCATGCCCGTACACGACACACGCGCTCGTTGCGGTATGCGTGCAAACTACTAGTGTCTACAACAAAACGGACCTTACCTAAAAAATACCCCTCGTATGTCCTTCACTCAAAAAAATTGATTTTGTCATTTGGGAGTTGTAATTGCTGGGATTTATAGTTCACCTGCAATCAAAGAACATTCTAAACTCCACCAATGATGGCATTGAACCAAACTTGGCATGCAGAACTCCCATTACCAACAGAAAACACTAGAAGGGTTTGGTGGGCATTGACCTTGAGTTTGGGAGTTGTAGTTCATCTACATCCAGAGAGCACTGTGGACTCAAACAATGATGGATCTGGACCAAACTTGGCACGAATACTCAACATGCCCAAATGTGAACACTGATTGAGTTTGGGGAAAAATAGGCTTTGTCATTTGGGAGTTGTAGTTGCTGGGATGTACAATTCACCTACAATCAAAGAGCATTCTGAACCCCACCAATGATGGAATTGAACCAAACTTGGCACGCAGAACTCCCATGACCAACAGAAAACATTAGAAGGGTTTGGTGAGCATTTAGCTTGAGTTTGGGAGTTGTAGTTCATCTACAACCAGAGAGCACTGTGGACTCAAACAATGATGGATCTGAACCAAACTTGGCACGAATACTCCATTTGCCCAAATGTGAACCCTGGAGGAGTTTGGGGGAAATAGACCTTGATATTTGGGAGTTGTAGTTTATTTACTTTATTTATTTACTTTGCTTATATACCGCTGTATCTCAAGCCCGAAGGCGACTCACGGCGGTTCACAAACAGTAAAAACAGTAGAAACAGCAGTGGTTCCATACAACATATAACAATTGACTTAACACATTATCCATAAATTACCAATAAGCAGTTACAATGCACAATTATTACAAAAAACAACCGTACCCAATCTTCTCATCATCCAAGCGTAGTCCAGGTTCGTCGTCCCTTGTTCCATTCCTATGTTCCATTACCAGATTGCACTAAATTACTCAAACGCCTGCACAAACATCCAGGTCTTCACCTTTTTGCGGAATACCATTAGAGATGGTGCTAGTCTAATCTCCGTAGGAAGGGCGTTCCACAGCCGAGGAGCCACCACCGAGAAGGCCCTATCTCTCGTCCCCGCCAGCCGAGCTTGGATTGCTGGGATTTATAGTTCACCTGTAATCAAAGAGCATGCTGAACCCCATCAACGACAGAATTGGGGCAAACTTTCCACACAGAACCCCCATGAACAACAGAAAATACTTATGGCCATCCACTCCTTCACCAGGGCAAGAAAACGTAATCAAAGCCCTCCTGACAAAGAGCCATCCAGCCATAGATAGAGATAGATATATGTGATTCACACACACACATAGTATGCTAGATTTGAAAGGGACCCCTAAAGAAGGACAATTATACGTTGCCTTCAGTAAGGTGGGGGAAAGTGCAATATGTTATGGTTGTGGGGGTCACCACAATAAATGTGTTGTTTTTTTCAGGCCTGTAAATACAGTAAGTGTTGTACCAGCACATGCACCTTTCAGCGGGGAGCTGTGTGCAGTAATGAATTATGCTGCGAAGACTGTAAGGTAAGAAGCGAATTTGGAGAATGGTTTAGAGGCCTCTTGTAAAACTCACTGGCTGGTGATTTGCACTGACCTGAAAGGTTTAACCAAGTTCCACAGAATGAACGGTTTTGTACCTGTGGAGCATCAGAGGTAGAAGATATCACACATATACTATTTAGTTGTAACCTGTGTAAGAAAGAGAGAAACCAGTACTTGGGACCATACATTATGCAAAGATACAGAATGGGGGATGCCTGGCTCGAGAGCAGGACGTGTGAAAAAGATCTTGGAGTCCTCGTGGACAACAAGTTAAACATGAGCCAAGAATGTGATGTGGCGGCAAAAAAAGCCAATGGGATTTTGGCCTGCATCAAGAGGAGCATAGTGTCTAGATCTAAGGAAGTAATGCTACCCCTCTATTCTGCTCTGGTTAGACCACATCTGGAATATTGTGTCCAATTCTGGGCACCACAATTCAAGAGAGATATTGACAAGCTGGAATGTGTCCAGAGGAGGGTGACTAAAATGATCAAGGGTCTGGAGAACAAGCCCTATGAGGAGCGGCTTAAGGAGCTGGGCATGTTTAGCCTGAAGAAGAGAAGGCTGAGAGGAGATATGATGATAGCCATGTATAAATATGTGAGAGGAAACCACAGGGAGGAGGAGGGAGCAAGCTTGTTTTCTGCTTCCCTGGAGACTAGGACACAATGGAACAATGGCTTCAAACTCCAAGAAAGGAGATTCCACATGGACATGAGGAAGAACTTCCTGACTGTGAGAGCCGTTCAGCAGTGGAACTCTCTGCCCCGGAGTGTGGTGGAGGCTCCTTCTTTGGAGGCTTTGAAACAGAGGCTGGATGGCCATCTGTCAGGGGTGATTTGAATGCAATATTCCTGCTTCTTGGCAGAATGAGGTTGGACTGGATGGCCCAGGAGGTCTCTTCCAACTCTTTGATTCTAGGATTCTATGATTATACAAAAGACACACTGGGATCCTGATATTAATTTTTTTTTTTTTTTTTGCTGGACAGAATGCTAAAATAACAAAGAAAATGCCCCCTTTTCTGTTTAAAGCTGAGAACTGCATACTTAGAGTCGATGGGGTAAGCTGTGGAGGTGATGCAGATATTTGATCTGGATCGGGACCTTGTTCACAGCTTGTTTATTTACAGTGGGGAAATAACCTAGGGAACGCCGTCCCTCACTCCGGGAACTTGCCAGGATGCTATGGATCACCATAGGAGTCCAAACAGTTAGAGCAAAACACAGGTTTATTTCTACTGATCAATGAGAAAGGTGGACAGACAGCACACATACAATAGTGTGTGTTAAATGTGGGTTGTATGTGTTAAGTGTGTTTGTCAATGTTAACTGTGTATGGCCAATAGGCCACTCAATAAAATGTACCAACTGAAACATTCACACTTGCCTCCGACAGACAAGAGTTCTTTCTCCCACCCTGGACATCATTCCACAGCCAGGCTCTGAAGCTGCAAGGCCATTCAATGCTAATCAAGGTGCCCAGTTGCAACATTCACACTTGCCTCCAACAGACAAGAGTTCTTTATCTTACCCTGGACATTCTAGCAGCCAGGCTTTGAAGCTGCAAAGCCATTCAGTGCTAATCAAGGTGCCCAATTGCAACATTCACACTTGCCTCCAACAGACAAGAATTCTTTCTCTCACCCTGGACATTCTAGCAGCCAGGCTTTGAAGCTGCAAGGCCATTCAGTGCTAATCAAGGTGCCCAATTGCAACATTCACACTTGCCTCCAACAGACAAGAATTCTTTCTCTCACCCTGGACACTCTAGCAGCCAGGCTTTGAAGCTGCAAGGCCATTCAGTGCTAATCAAGGTGGCCAGTTGCAACATTCACACTTCCAGTCAACAGGCAAGAGTTCATTCTCCTGGCCTGGACATTCCAGCAGCCAGGCTTTGAAGCTGCAAGGCCATTCAATGCTAATCAAGGTGGCCAACTGCAACATTCACACTTGCCTCCAACAGACAAGAGTTTGTTCTCCCACCCTGGGAGATATATAAACCCCATTTTCCTAGTTTCCAACACACTTCACAACCTCTGAGGATGCCTGCCATAGATGTGGGCAAAAAGTCAGGAGAGAATGCTTCAGGAACATGACCATACAGCCCAAAAAACCTACAGCAACCCAGTACTAATGTTCAGATGGAATCTCTTTTCCGGTCATTTGAACCCATGGCTCTATTGAGTCCTAGACTCCAGGACCGCAGAAAACAATCCTGCTCCCTCTTCTTTATGACATCTTTCCAATATCTAAACATGGCCCTCATGTTTCTTTCTCTCAAGCTTCTCTTCTGCAAGCTGAACTTACCCATCTCTTTAAGCCGCTCCTCATAGGAAGGCAGTTCCCATAGCTTCGGTTGCTTTGAAAGTGGACCCCAATTGCTTCTGCCGTTGCCTGTGTGCAGCGATGGCCCGTCCCCGTTAGGAATGCCTCTGCTTCCTTCTTGTTTCTCTTTTTCCCTAGTTTAAGCCACGAAATGCAATATGTAGGCCGGCGACGGACAAATGCGACTTCTCTGAGTACTGCAACGGGAGTTCGGCGTCTTGTCCAAGTGACGTTTACGTCCAGAATGGTCACAAGTGTGGCTCCAACACTGGCTTCTGTTACGGTGGGATGTGTCAGTCGGCGGATCTTCACTGCCAGGATCTCTTCGGGAAAAGTAAGACTCCGGGTTTTTCTCTTGCCACTTAAACAAAAGTCCTATGAACCAGCTAGGGCATTAAGATCGTCTGGGGAGACCCTGCTCTCGGTCCCGCCTGCATCACAAGTACGTCTGGCGGGGATGAGAGACAGCGCCTTCTCAGTGGTGGCCCCTCGGCTGTGGAACGCCCTCCCTAGAGAGATTAGATCTGCTCCCTCCCTCTTAACAAGTTAAAACATGGGTATTCGAGCAGGCATTTGAATAGGCAGTGTATTGAATATAGGAATATGGAACAACGGATTATGAGATTGGATTTTGATTCTACCTATGAGACACTAATGAGATGTGATATTGATGTTTAATTGATTATTTATTATGCCATTGGGTTGTTGTAGGTTTTTTCGGGCTATATGGCCATGGTCTAGAGCAGGGGTCCACAAACCTTTTAAACAGAGGGCCAGGTCACAGTCCCTCAAACTGTTGGAGGGCCGGATTATAATTTGGAAAAAAAACCATGAATGAATTCCTATGCATGCTGCACATATCTTATTTGTAGTGTAAAAAACACTTCAAAACAATACAATAATTAAAATGAAGAACAATGTTAATAAATATAAACTTACTAGCTGTCCCCAGCCACATGTTGCTGTGGCCCATTCTGTTGATCTGGGAAATAAAGTAACGAGAAAGTGTTGGTTTCTAATATATGTAATTTCTTTCTGCTTGTGGGTAAACAGTATTTCTTGCAAGTTGTTCTTGCAACAACAGAGAGGAAAAAACCAGGCACAGATTAACACCTCCCAGCAACAGATTTTCCCAGGCTCAGGCAGGCCTTCAAATGCTAATGAAGGTGATCAGCTAAACATTCACACCTAACTGCAGCAGGGAAGAGCTCCTTGCCCCACCCCAGCCATTCCACAGATATATAAACCCATTTTTCCTACTTCCAACAGACCTCACAACCTCTGAGGATGCTTGCCATAGATGCAGGCGAAACGTCAGGAGAGAATGCCTCTAGAACATGGCTCTATAGCCCGAAAAAACCCACAAGAACCTAGTATTTCTTGCTGTTTCGTTGTCAGTGTTGATGTGGAGAGTGTCTGGTTTGTCTACTCTGGAACATATATTTTTCCTTTTTTAGAGGTCCCTTTCAAATCTATGATACTATATATATCTCTCTCTGTGTGTGAATCATATCTATCTATCTCTATCTATGGCTGCTTGACCCTTTGTCAGGAGGGCTTTGATTACATTTTCTTGCCCTGGTGAAGGAAGTTGGACTGGATAGCCTTAAGTATTTCCTGTTGGTCATGGGGGTTGTGTGTGGGAAGTTTGCCCCAATTCTGTTGTTGGTGGGGTTCAGAATCCTCTTGATTGTAGGTGAACTATAAATCCCAGTAACTACAACTCCCAAATGTCAAGGTCTATTTCCCCCAAACTCCATCTGTGTTTATATTTGGCATATTGAGTATTCATGCCAAGTTTGGTCCAGATCCATCATTGTTTGAGTCCACAGTGCTCTCTAAATGTAGGTGAACTACAACTCCAAAACCCAAGGTCAATGCCCACCAAACCTTCTAATGTTGGTCAGGGGAGTCCTGTGTGCCAAGTTTGGTTCAATTCCATCGTTGATGGAGTTAAGAATGCTCTTTGATTGTAGGTGAACTATAAATCCCAGTAACTACAACTCCCAAATGTCAAGGTCTATTTCCTCCCAAACTCCATCTGTGTTTATATTTGGGTATATTGAGTACATGCCAAGTTTGGTCCACATCCATCATTGTTTGAGTCAACAGTGCTCTCTAGATGTAGGTGAACTACAACTCCAAAACCCAAGGTCAATGCTCACCAAACCCTTCTAATGTTGGTCAGGGGAGTCCTGTGCGCCAAGTTTGGTTCAATTCCATCATTGGTGGAGTTCGGAATGCTCTTTGATTGTAGGTGAACTATAAATCCCAGCAACTACAACTCCCAAATGACAAAATCATAATTTTTTGAGTGATGGTCACTCCTTGTGTAGTGAGACGTTTTGTTGCCAAATTTGGGGTGATTTCATTCATTGGTTCTTTTGTTTTTAAGGTACTCATTATGCACAGAGCATTTATATACATATAGATTAGTATTTCAGTGGGAAGTGTGGGCCTGCTTTTGGCTGATGAGATAGGATTGTTGTTGTTGTTGTTGTGTCCTTTCAAGTCATTTCAGACTTAGGTTGACCCTGAGCGAGGGCCGGGTAAATGACCTTGGAGGGCCGCATCTGCCCCCCAGGCCTTAGTTTGAGGACCCCTGGTCTAGAGGCATTCTCTCCTGACGTTTCGCCTGCATCTATGGCAAGCTAGGCCTGTTTGATCAAGAAAAAATTTGTTTCTAAAATCGTTTTGTAATTGGGGTGTTTTTTTGTTTCGATATTTAAAATAATTACAAAACTTTCCCAAAAAAAGTTTTGGTATTTACAAAATTTTGTAAATATTAACGAATTTTTAGAATATTTTTGGTATTTCTTAAGAATAATATTAAAATAATATTAAAAAATATTTTAAAATGGAAAATTAACCAAAAAATGGCCCAAATGTGGACCAAACACAGGCACAATACAGCAAATGAGAGCACACACCAACAGAAGAGTCTTTTCTTTTTTAGAATATTTTTTAAAAATAATATTAAAAAATATTAAAAAATAATATTAAAATAATATTAAAAATATTTTAAAATGGAAAATTAACCAAAAAATGGCCCAAATGTGGACCAAACACAGGCAGGATACAGCAAATGAGAGCACACACCAACAGAAGAGTCTTTTCTTTTTTAGAATATTTTTTAAAAATAATATTAAAATAATATTAAAAAATAATATTAAAATAATATTAAAAAATATTTTAAAATGGAAAATTAACCAAAAAATGGCCCAAATGTGGACCAAACACAGGCACGATACAGCAAATGAGAGCACACACCAACAGAAGAGTCTTTTCTTTTTTAGAATATTTTTAAAAATAATATTAAAATAATATTAAAAAATAATATTAAAATGGAAAATTAACCAAAAAATGGCCCAAATGTGGACCAAACACAGGCAGGATACAGCAAATGAGAGCACACACCAACAGAAGAGTCTTTTCTTTTTTAGAATATTTTTTAAGAATAATATTAAAAATAATATTAAAAAATAATATTAAAAATAATATTAAAAATAATATTAAAAATAATATTAAAAATAATATTAAAAATATTTTAAAATGGACAATTAACCAAAAAATGGCCCAAATGTGGACCAAACACAGGCAAGAGACAGAAAATGAAGCAAGCAGCACTCACAGCAGCAAGGAATGAATCCAATCCCAGTTCGTTGCTAGCAGGCAGCCATTGCCAAGCCAACCCAATGCAAACTCCCTCGCCCTCGCCTCTGCAGCAAGCTACGGGCCGCGCGGAGCCGCTTTGAAAGGGCTTGCCGGCCAATCAAAAAGAGACAGCCACGGACCCATGGTGCACTGCTGGGGAGCGCCGGATTGGCTCCCATGCACCAGCACTCCAGCAGCCTCCACCCCATTAACGAAACGAGCGGAGGCTATGGGGGCTGCTGGTTCGATATTTATAAACCCTTCCGGGTTTGGAGATTTGTTTCAATATCGCTTCGGAAATGGTAAAATTAACGAATTATTAACGAATTAACGAATTAACGAACCAAATCGCACAGGCCTACAAGCTACCTCTGAGGATGCTTCCCATAAATGCAGGCGAAACATCAGGAGAGAATGCTTCTAGACCCGTGATGGTGAACCTACGACACGCGTGTCAGCACTGACACGCATGGCTATTTTTGATGACACGCAGACACATGTGGCCACATACAGAAAGATACACCTTATAAGAGCCAATCTAATTCCTTAAATTTGTACAAGGCTCTACAAATTTAACATATGCATGTTTGTTCACTCCATAACTCAGCATGGATTATACATTTTTCTTATTTAAACTATAAATATTGCAAAATTATGGTTGTTTTAAGGAAACTCCCAGCAATATGTCCCTAAATGCACTTTATTAGAGTTTAGAGCAGGATTACAGAAGTTTTTAGGAGTTCGTGTTAAGAATAGGCAGTTTGCCTGAAGTTTGCCAGCGAAGTAAGCTGTGGCAAACTGGGTACAGCTATTTAGGGAAGAAATAGCTGGGTTTTGTAGTAGTAACTGTAACAAAGAAAGAACCATTCTCACGCAACCGTTACGCTTTCAAGAACCAGAACATTTTATCTGTACAGCCAAGCTTACTAAACAGCATTCACTTCATTCTGTACTTCTATCAATAAACTTTACTGGATTATTTTTAAAACCTAAAAAGCCTGAGTCAAGTGTACATTTGTGGATTTAGTCCCTTTTCCTTTTCAACCTCACCTGCTTCCTAGGCCTGGGTAACAACGGAAAAATTGGTTTCTAAAATCAATTTGTATTTGGGGTTTTTTTTTGTTTCGATATTTAAAATAATTACAAAATTTTCCTTTTAAAAAGTTCGATATTTACGAAATTTCGTAAATGGTAAAAAAATTAACGAATCGATTTCCGAAACGATAACGAGTCGATTCGTTAATGGCGGACGCGACCGCGAAATACGCTAAAAAACCTCCAAAACCTTCTGAAGCTTCCCTCTCCCTCTGTTGTTGACTGTTGGTGTGATATTATAATTTTTTTTCACTAATTAAACCATAAAACTGGCCCAGACATGCGGAAATAATAACGAAACGACCTCAAAACAATAACGAAACGAATACAATATCGAAATACGAAGCATTTACAAAACGTTTTTGAAAATTCGTTTTTTTTTAATAATTGCTCCAGAATGGTTCGTTATCGTTTTGTAATTGAAAAAATTAACGAATTATTAACGAATTACGAATTAATGAAACGAAACCGCCCAGCCCTACTGCTTCCCTTTAAAGAAGAAAATAAGCAGACACAATACTTGGTGGTCTAAAATGCTTTTTAATAGTGTAACCAGCTAGAGGGTTCCTGTTCATTTAGTTTATG